AGAGGAAAAACAAGAGGAGTCAAAAAACACAGCGGGAGTGAATATAAGAGATATGGGCAACTGAAGAGACGGCAGAGACAGTGAGAAGTGAGAGAGCTTGAAGACCACAAGGGTGGCTTGCTGCAGGTGTACTGGTCTGCGACGGGAGGAGGCAATGACTCGGATGAGTAGACACGGACCCGTGGCGGACCTTTCGGGTGCAACAGCCTGTTCTAGCGAGGCCTTTCCAACACACCCCTGCGCTGTCGACGGCGAAGGCCTCGCTGGATTCTCGCGCAGATCCAATGCTTCAATGTTTTGCTGAGCTCGAAGCGTTTGCGAAAGTTGACTTCATTGCGAGGTGCTGCTACTGCCAGCTCCAGCAGCAGATGGCAGGCAAGGCAGTGGGCAAAGTCGGAACGGATGGAACTGGTCACTCGTACTTGGATGGCATTTGCCCTCAGGCCTTTCGCTGGGGCAGTTGGGTCGACGTGGACGCAGTGATGCAGAAGGCCTTGCGAGTACTGAAGCCACAAGTGTTGCAGAAGTCCTGCCAAACAGATGCTGGAGTGGATGTGTTCGTATTTTGACAGGCGCTTGTGCAGGCCGCCCGGGGCCCGAGCTTTGCCACACCAGTGAATTTCAGTTCGCTGGTTCTTTCTTGCGCCTCGGCTCGGTGGTCACCATCCAAGCCTGCGGATCTCCCCCGAAGCTCTAGGTTTGCAATTTGGGGTCTTCATTGGCGTGTGAGAAGGCCCGAAGCAACTAGGGCCAGCGGCTGCAGGACTAAGGGAAGCAGAGCTTTCCGATGGTCACAAACTTAAAAGCCTCAGCAGGTTGTCGTGGCTTCGCGTTGGAAACTGGGCGTGTTTCTGCACTGTTCCATAGAGCATAATTTGACAGCCGGGTATACAATCGAACTCTTGATCTCTCTGCCTTAGCCCAAGCTACCCCGAAACCGTGGCGGCATGGGCCGTGCTGATGTCCGCATCGTCATCATCAGCCGCAGTGGCGGGGTTGTACGTTAACGTCGTGTACTTCATGGTCACACGATCGTGGTGGCGTCTCTTCGCCTCTTCCAAACCTCTTAGCCCGACCCCGAACCCAAAGTCCGAAGCTCTGAACCCAAGTGGGGGTTTCCGAAAATGGGGGACCAAATAGTAGGATTATAAGGGCCCAAAATACAGTACCCGTGAAGCCCCCGGCTCTGAGAGAGTGGGCTTCAGGCTGACCATGGCGACCCCAAGGCGGAGAAGAAAAGCAAAGCTTCAGAGTTTGGTGAACAGAAGAAGAATCGGTTTGGGGCCTTTGGGGCTGGGGGTTTGGGCTGACTTCCAGTTTAGCATTCAATAGCGGGCTTTCCGGGTTTGAAGTATGAGGTTTCGGCCAAACGGTCACAGGCTTCCGGGCTGGGGTTTGATGGGCCTGGCAAGATCGACATGTCATGCTCAGAGGCTGTGCACCGCAGGCCCGCAGACTTGAACGCATCTTTCTGGATTGGCTTTTGTCTCGCAGCTTTTGGAACCTGAAGCCATGAGAGGTTTCCTTCAGCAATGACAACGTGCCCTACATCGCTGACTTGGCACGAATGGTCCTGCTGAACGAGAAGACCGGCCGCAAGAGGCCATCAGAGTTATGGTTTCCAGTGGTCTGCATCACATGGAGGTCCCTGAAGGCCAGGCGTGCCAAGGTAAGGATTAAACAAATGGGCAAGCTCATTACTCGCCCCGACATGATGTCAAGAAAGTCTTTGTTGGAAGGCCTGTCATGAATACTTTCATCGCGCTTATGATGGTATGATCCCTGTGAACAGCCTTATTTCCAATTTCGCGCATGTCCCTACCGGCCGAATGACTGGCCTTGATTCAGTAGCCGCTATGTCGGTACTGTAGTTTTGTGGGCGAGGAGTATGGTCCTGACCTGTCTGTTTTTCTGTTTGATTCATGACTTCGGCATTGCAAGTCTTCTCTATACCGGCGCCTAAAAGTTTGGCTTCATGCGAGCCTCTTCTTAGATCCACCCCACCCCACAAATAAGTCTTTGCTGAACTTTTTTTCGCTTCTCTGAAGATGAAGGGTCAGAGTCTTGAGGCCCGTAAAATACGTCGGGGAGCCACGGTTTAGGGTTTAGGGTTTTAAGGGTTTTAGGGTTTAGGGTTTAGGGTTTGGGGCGCTTCGATTTCGCAACCTTCCGTACAAGCTCGTTCTGGCACACGTAGCACGTCAGAGATGCGGGTATTCGGAGTTTGTTACATGCAGGGCAACGTGTCCAGAGAGGGACAAGGGTGAGAGGCTTGGGCCTGGAGTTATATGCACCTGGTTGGAGCAGTACGCACACTGTTCAGAATCTGCATAACTGCTTTTGTCCCTCGGTAGATGCAGGAGGCTTGCAAAGGTTCCGGTTCACGTCTTGTCGAAATTTCAGCGGTCTAGACCCCAGCTGTACCCCACAATGCAGCCAGATGGATCTGCAAGTTGAGAACATTGCGGCAAAGAGCCAAACCCTAAGCCCATCGAAACTAGGTTCTTAAACCTCTAAGCCCTAAACTTCTGTACCTTACATCCCCAGACTTGAAAGACACCCGATGCTTGAGCATTTGCAGTTTTGGTTCTTTTTTTTCAACTTTGGGGTCCGTTTGCGAGGTGTAGGTTTAGGGTTCCAGGATGTATGTCTCTAGTTGCTGGCATGCGCGAGAGTCCTGTTGTAAAAATTGTTCGTAGAACCCCAACGCCCAAAAGTGATGGGCCTAAGCCCTAAACCCTAAACCCTAAACCCTAAGCCCTAAACCCTAAACCCTAAGCCCTAAACCCTGAGCCCTAAGCCCTAAGCCCTAAACCCCAAAGCCCCCGTAGTAATAGGCACAACCAGAGCAGCAGGATCTTGCGCCTCGAGCCTGGCGACCAGGAGCTTACCGGGATTGTTGCTTTAGGGTTTGGGGTTCGGGGTTTAGGGTGTGGGTTTAGGGTCTAGGGTTTGGGTTTGGGGTTTGGGTTTGGGGTTGAGGGTTTAGGGTTTGGATTTGGGGTTTGGGTTTGGGGTTTAGTGTTGTAAAAGGGTTTGGGCTTAGGGTTTGGGTTCGGGGTTCAGGGTTTGGGTTTGGGGGCTGAGTTTGGGTTCAGGGTTTGGGTTTGGGGTTTGGGTTCGGGGTTCAGGGTTTGGGTTTGGGGGCTGAGTTTGGGTTCAGGGTTTGGGTTTGGGGTTCAGGGTTTGGGTTTGGGGTTTAGGGTTCAGGGTTTCGGGCTTCGGCTTCGGTGCAGGGGTGTTGTTGGGGTTGTGGAGTGCGGGGTTTAGGGACTCAAAGGTATTTTTATTTTTGGATTTAGAGTTCAAGCGTCAGCTTCTACTGCATGGCAATGCACGGCACCTTGATCCAAAACTTAGCCGCACGAGTCAAACTCCGAAATCTTTGAAGAGCTTGCGCGTTTAAGCAGAGTTGTCCCTGAATACAGATCGGTCAAGGTTTCTTCTACAAGGGATTCCTATGAAAGAAATAGGGTACTAAACCGCAGGCCAGCCAGGCCCCGAAGCTGCACACCCTGGGCCAGACAGGCTGCAACCCAAGTATTGAAGTTGGAGCATGGTGATTCACCCTGAACCCTAAACCCTAAACCCTAAACCCTAAACCCTAAACCCTAAACCCTGTTGTTATCTGAAAGTCGTTCAGTTCACACTCGCGACTGTCCCTCAAGGCACAATACTGAAAGGGAGGAGGGAACCCTAAACCTTGAACCCTACCTTAAGAACCCAAAACCCACTTTTTTTTGTAGGTTCTTATTATAAACCCTAATATGGGATTTATAGGAACCCTACAAAAAAGTAGGTTTCGGGGTTCTTAAGGTACACCCTAAACCCTGAAGCCCTACATTCTGTCCGCCTGTCGCCCCGCCTGTTCTCCTTGAGTGCCAGAACCTGGCAGCGCTATGAATTACTGTGGTTCTTGTTGCTTGCTCTATTGTCGCAATATGTCTTATTGCTATTGTTTCTATTGTTATTATTATCCATATTCTTATTATGGTCGTTATTGTCATTATTGTTGATCTTGTGCTTCTTCTTCTTATTTTTATTTCCAATTGTGCTTATCACTATCTATTGTGTTTTGGTCTTACTCTTAGTATTACTTTTACGCTTACTATTACTGATACTGTTACTTTTACTATTACTATTATTCTTGTTGTTCTATTTGTTGTTATAATTGCAATCAAACTTCTTATTGTCATTATTGTTTATAGGTGTTATTGCCATTAGGTTTATTATCGTTGTCATTATGATTACTAGTATGACTATTATAGTCATTATGACTACTATGATTCTTAGTATTATTATTGTAGTTACTGTTATTACTATTTTGTTAGCAGTCTTATCATTATGGTGAATACTAATATCTTTCCCATTTTTACTCACTCTTGTTTTCTCCTTGTTCTAGTATTATTATACTTGTTACTATGATTATGATTACGATTATGATCAACATTTAATAGTATAATTTGTCGTAGAGTTAGCATTTATATTCTAGACCTTTTCGTAAGGGGGCGAAGGAAATCACAGCCTGCTGTCTGAGAGTGGACGAAGCTAAGGGACGACATCCTGGCTTTCGGGTTCCAGATGCCAAGCTGCGAGCACAGCGAGCCGCTACTTTTCCACTGAACAAGGTTTGCTTTTGGAATGCTTCCATAGTTGCTCTGCAGACAACATGACACACCCAGCATGCTTGCACGGGCTTGTGTCATGAGGTCTTTGTGGAAGGAAGCGGCTGGAAAGCGATGTCCTCGCCCAAGGTACTGCAGGAATGTGCACCTTCGCAACCTCCTGGAGCCAGCAGTTTGCGTCACGCTCCTCCGAATTCCCTGCAAAGGTCCATCGACAATGGTCGCGAGCTCAGTTGGCCATGCTTTCGGGGTTAGCAGAACTGAGACGTTCGGGGCCTACATGCCGGATCACCTTTGCGCTCAAAGGAGTTCAGTCCTCGTGATGTCATTCGCAAGGTATGGAACCCGTCGAGACGGCTGGTGCACAAGCAAGCCATGACAGAACTGGAAGTTTTCTGGCGCCCCCCGTTGACCTCCTCATCCCAGTTCCGAAAAGAAGATCGGCACTTGGCTTTTGGTTCGGTTTCCCTTGACATGCCAAATCCGTCTGCGCGCCCAATCTCTCAGATCGCGGGCTGGATCCCCTGCGAGGCGGTTCAAGAGTCCGTTCCGGGAGCTGGAAATTGCGGGCTCCGGCGCGAGACCGGGCCGCCCTCTTGCGATGCCTCTTTCAAAGATCTTCTGCCCGAGAGCCAGGGGCCGGCGGTTTTTGAGGCTGCAGGGGAGGAGACGCGATGGACAGGGCTCTTGTCCGTCGAGGCGGGCTCGAAGCTTCGGCTGGCCGGACCCAGCAGCTTCCGGCTCACCTTTGGCAGAGCTCGCCAGGCGCTTCCAAGGGCAGTGCTGCGCAGCTCAGCATGTCCTCCAGGTCATGTTGACGGCGATGTCAAGGACTGGTTTGAGGTGCACTGCCGTCCAGGGAAGGTCGCCGCCACAGCGACGGTGGAGGTCCTGAGCCCTCCGAGGGGTCAGGTCAACGGAGTTTGGCAGCCACTCCGCTGGAGCCACTTCCAGCCGCCGGAGCTTTGGCCACTGGTCCGCGTCATGGGTGCTTGGGTGGACGGCGGGGCCGGCAGATGCGAAGCGCCCGCACCCCTCCGCGTGGCTCCTGCGCATGTTCGCAAGCCACAACTTGGAGCTACACCGAACCCACCACATCTAGCCCTGCTAGTGGTGCTTGCAGCTCAGCCTGCAGAGAGTGGCGTGGGCTGCATGACACCCAACTGGTCCCTGGTAGCCGCCTTGGAGGAGGCCCTGTATCGCCGGCTCGGACCTCGTTACGAACTCCATGTTGTGCAGATAGAGGCGGAGGAGGACCTGGAAAGCATTACCGCCGAGGATGTCCTGCGCAGCCTTTCACGTGCTGAGGTCAAAGGGATCGTTTATTTCTTAAGCCCGCAGCAAGTGAAAGGCGCGTTTCGGACAAAGAGTTATTTGATCCATGACGAGGCACTCTTTGCCTTGATGGAAAGGCTTGAGAGGGCCGGCCTTCCAACCGTGTGGCCACACCCGCTGCACCTCTTCAAGACCCTTGCTGGCAAAGTGTGGCCTTCCCAAGTTTGCCTGTCGCCGCAGTATCACGTGCCCCTCACTTCCTGCGTTCCTCGCGGTGCCGTGCTGGCAGACCCAGAGCTGGCTGCAGACGAGGCCCTGCAGGCCTTGAAGGTTTTGAGGGAGGCCTCTTCGCCTTGGCGCCCTCCAGAAATCTCGGGGACCGTGGTCAAGGTTGGATTCTCCTGGAAGTCCGAGGGAGTTATGCTCTGCCGGAGCAGGGAAGACTTGAAGTGCGCCTTGCAAAGTGCAGCAGCTGCTGGCAGTCATAGCTACTTCATGGTGCAGGAGCGCATTGAAGGATTGTGCTGCGAGGCCATGGTTTACACACTCGGCGGCCAGATCGTGGGTCGGCCACAGTACTATTCCTTCCCCTATCACAAAGCCCCGCCGCAGTACATGCTTCGAAAGAGAGCTGCTCAGTTGTTGGGTGGAGATGCGGTCCAAAGAGACTGCGAGGATAAGATGAAACAGGTTACCCAGCGGTGGCTACTGTGGATTCGGGCACAGTGCTCCAGCCCCGTGCCTTTCCTAAGAGTCGATTTCTTGCTGGCGCTCGATCCGGTCTCGCGGGATGTACAGGTATGGACAGGTGAGGTAAGTGAGCTGGGTGTTGCGGTGTCGTTTCAGGAAATAGACGATCACCAAAGCTGTGACATGGTGATGGATGCGGTGCTGTGTTCAGTTCTCAGCCAAAGAAATGCTGAGGCCGACGCTCAAACCGTGCATCGTGCAGCGGATGGAGAGCAACCAGAGAGCCATGCGGGACATCCATTCAGAACGATGGTTTGTGAACCCAGGTGCCATTCAGACGTCTCTTCAAGGACAGAGGATCCTTGATGTGGAGGCCGGCCTTGAATCTGTGGGTGCCTGCTTCGTGAGAGTGGTTTGCGGCAGGCGCATGGATGCCGGTACCGGCTGAATCTGGAGGCGCCGCGGTAGATCGCAAGAGAAGCAGAGCCCGAAGTCACCCGTGTCCACCTTCAAGTGAGAGGCCTTCGAGTGCACGAACCTTACATTGGGACGAACATCCTCTATGCGCCCATTGCAGGCCTGCCGGCGGATGTCAAGATTGCTGTTTGGGGTTGAGATTCGGCACAGTGCAGATTGCATGCAACTGGCACTGGCTAATGCATCATGGGATGCTCTCGTCTTTCTGAGTGTCTGAGAGTCCGGCATGGAAACGGGAAGACGAGGAAGTGTAAGATTAGTGATTAACGGAGTCCCTTGATCAACTGCTCCAACGTTCGGAGCTCACGTAAGGGTACGGTTCTGATGAACCCACCCGTTACTTTTGACCCGTCCATTAGCCCCTGACAAGAAGCCGAAGCTCATACAGGACGCCTTCACTTCTCCGTCTGCAGCGCGCGTCCCGGTTTGAGCACCGTGCAGTGTGGGCTTTGGAGTTTTAGCGCTTCGGACTTGGGGTTTAGGGTTTAGGGTTTAGGGGGGTTTAGGGTTTAGGGTTGAGTATTGCACGAGCCCTGATGCAAAAAGGGTTCAGTACATTTAGGGGATGCAAGCCTGATGTAAAACGGGTTTAGGGGAGTTTTAGGGTTTTGGGGGTAGTGGATCCAAGGTTATGTGTGGAATTGGAAAGCAGGCTATGTCTCGCCGGGTTTCGTTTTTGGCTGCACGGCAGATCGGTGGTTTCTGGTTAGAGCGTCAACGCACGTCTTTCCCATTGTTGCGGCCCAACTTTCTGGCTAGGGTCGATCAGGTGGAAAACTCTTCGTATCTTTTCAGCAAGCCACGATGGGACCTGGAGGTGGAGTGAGGTGTGTGGACATGTTGGAATGCTTCTTGCGTAAAGCGGTTTATTGGCATAGCCTGTGTGTATGTTCGAGCAATCGGTCGACGTGAATGATGTGCACCAGTATCAGTGGATGCTTTGCTTCTGGCTCGAGCCCTGAGATATTTTGTAAAGCAAGCCGTGTAGCCGCAATGGCTGGCATAGCGACTGGGACAGCAACCTCGCCGAATGCTGTTGCATGGCAGCTTAAATCTGAAGGCATGATCTGCACCAGTGTGCCTCGAGGTAATTTGCGTCAGTGGTGGCTTGTCTGAATGCAGCTGCAAGTTCGTCTGGGTTCCGTTTGTGGTTTTTTTTCGCGAACCCCATGTCCCCCTCGTTTGCCGCTCAGGGATCAGGCATGAGGATTAGGTGCGTTTGCGATTTTCGAGTTGCAAGGTTAATCTTGGTTCTGGTGAGTTCTACAGCGATGAACATGTAGGATGTTTTGTTTGAACGTCTTTCGGCACGAGGGCCAGGACGTCGACCACGACGGCGACCAGTGCAGCACTAAGCAGCACTAGAGTACTCCCGTACGGCATTGTACCACTGGTCTCTGTCATTAAGAATCAGCAAGATAAGTAGAGCTGTGTATGAGCATTAGGGCTTTAAACATCGATATCTGGCCGCACTAAAGTCCTGGCGGAATGGCTTGTCTACTGGACGGCCAAGGATTTGCAGACGCTGCGCTTCCAAGCCCGAATAAAGCACGGCTATGTGCATGCCAGAACATGTGGTTGAATGGTGTTACATGTTGCAGTTCGTTGCCGCTAACCCTGCACTGCGGCATGCCCGTGTGGATCTCTTCAAGTAGGTCATTGCATGCCTTTTTCAAACAGATCCTAACCCTAAATCCTGCTTGTGTGGAGCCTCGCCTGCCTTGTGCGAGAGTGAGAGTCGAAACCCTGCGAGCGGCAAAGGAGAGCCTGGACTTGCCGCAACCCTGAGCCAAGATGAGACTAGCCCCGAGGTTGAGTTATCCTCAAACCCGACTATCCCAGCTCTTGGGAGCAGGCCTGCCCGGGGCCATGGGCCACGAAGTCTCGCAGGCCTGCCTTCGCCGAGGTTGGGAGAGCAACCGTTCCTTCTAGACAGACCGGTTGCACCTGGCCATGATGCTAGGAAGGATGTGGGAGTTTCCGAAAATGGGGGACCTAATATAGTACCCTAAATAGTAGGTCCCTTATTATAAGGACCCCCAAAATAAGGTACCCCTATTTTCGGAAACTCCCATCCTTGAATAAGGGGAATCGATGTGTCAGACGTGATCCGAAGGCGAAGTCTAGAGCCGACCTCTTGGGCCCTGGCTCGTTTCCCTTAAACCATCCTCCGAACTTGGTCTCCTAGGTGGCAAGACAAGGAGTAAACCCCAAACCTCTAAGCCCCAAGCCGCAAAACCTCGGAGCCATTCGAAGCCACAACAACCCCACGTTCAATTACGTGCAGGTATGACCTTGGCTCCCGTGGGCCTTACGGGTCCCGGCATGCCAGACCAGTGCCAGGTCCGGGGCAGCTTGGTTTTCCAGGGTTTGGGATTTTGGTCCAGGATTTGGGTTGAGGATCTTTGGGTTCAGGGATCAGGGGTTGAAGGAGCTTCGGGTTTAGCGGCAAAGGGTTTCAGCTTAAAGCTGTGCTGATTGCGGTTGTGCTTTTTGTTTTAAGGATCTCGGCATTTGAGGCTTTGGTAGTTGGAGGTCTTTGGTAGATGGTGCGCAAGGGTTTGGGGTTGCTACTTTGGCAAATTGCTTGCCAAATCCTTTTGTGGGAACCTCATAGGAATCGAAGAGAAACCCTCAAAGAAAGCTCCTCAGCACGAGCTCAGCAGCGGTGCTTTTGCAGGTCGTCGAAGGCGGCACCTACGCCGTCAAGCTGGTTGGCTCGGACCAACCCGCTGCGCAAAAGCAAGCTCTGGAGGAGTGCCATGGTGGTTCAGTGACCCTAAGATACCCTGAGCCCTAAACTCCCTAAACTCTGGGTCATAGGGTTGAAGGCTTCGAAGAGGCGGCCGGGCTCGGGCTTGTTCTCAGCCTGCTTGCAGAGATGCTTGCCGTTTTTCCTGGAGTGGAGGAGCTGAAGGCGGCTCATGGCGACAAGCTGGTGATCATTGATTTCACCCACCCTAGCGCGGCAGCTGCCTCAGAGCGCTGGGTGATGCTTCTCTGACTCTGAGCCCTTTTTTGTGTTGCCGAGCTGCATGTGTTGTCGATCGGGACGTGAACGGAGCGCACGAGACCTTCTGTGCTGCGGAGGTCAATGCGAATGCCGAACTCTACGCCGCCGCCCCCTTGCCGCGATGGTCTTGTCCACTTGTTGGGCTGTGTCTTTGTGTTTTTTGCCTTGCCGTTATTCGGTGACGCCCTTTCCTTGAGGCTGGCGTCAATTTTGTTTTCGGCACGACCGGTGGGGACCGTGACGCGTTGATGAAGGTCACCGAGCAGAGCGGGGTCTACGCTGTCATCGTGTCTCAGCTTGCTATTCGGCACCAGAAGCCCTGAAGCCAAGCTGAATTTGACCCGAACCTTCAGGCGCCGAACATGGGAAAGCAGATTGTCGCTCTCCAGGCCACGATGGAGAGGACGGGAAAGCCCAACAGAGTCTGAGAGGGAAAGTCTACACCCAACATCCTGAACCCCAAGAAGGTATCGTCGCAGAAAAGCCCAAGCCGACAGTTCCCATCAAGACGACTCCTACGGCAGCTAGACACTTGACACTAGAGTTTTGCATCTCTGAATTGCACTCGGAACGCGGCACTTGGCAATCAACAACGAGTGTAGGCGATGAGCAGCGACGTAAGAGCGATTCCCCCCAAACCCTGCACCCCAAAAAGAATGCTCCTCCCCTCAGGATGGCGAAAGACTTTCCCGGCGCCTTTGCAGGCCGTTTGGGTTCGGACCGGCCTTGTCATATTCTTCACTGTCCATGTGGTCATGAGCATCAGTGATCCTGAGTGGTATGGCTGTAACCCGTCTCCAGTCTTTTACAAGACCATCTTCTCCGAGTGGGGTTCTTAAAGTAAATGAGCCTTATTCGTCAGGGGCTTGTGTACATGATGCATACCACGGCCGTCGCTTCGGTGTTTCTTCTACTTGTCACCGTCATCCTAAACTCTAAACGTTGGTTGCAAAGTGTTTTTGTTGATCCTCTCGAGACTGCTTGTGTATGTGTTTGTCACAGTTGTCCTGGATCCTTGCCTGCCTTGGCGAGTTTTCTAAACCCTAAGCGTGAGAGTCGGAACCCCCGTCTCAGCGTTTGAGCAGTGCCAGCCCCCATGTGCGAAACTCCCAACACCCAAACCATGAGCGCCATTCTAAGGTCAAAGCACAAGGTCCTAAATCCGACAGTTTGGCAGTCCTGAGTCCCCGATCCGGATCCTAAAACTCCGGGCATGGCCGGCATGGCTGGTGTGCTCTCGAAGCCGCGGACCTGTCGGGTCTGCTGCTTGCCCATGGCTTTTCTAGCACTTCTACCGCGACCCGTCTCTTTTGCGGCCTTGAAACCTCGAAGCTTTAGCAAGGAGGCCGCGCAGTTTCTGAGCCGTGTCGCACCGCGTTTAGACAATGAGCTCGGACACAAGGGCCAGGGTGGCCGTGTTGCCATCCTTGGGGGTTCCAAGGACTACACCGGAGCTCCGTACTATGCCGGCTTGGCTGCATTGCGGACCGGTGCCGAGCTCGTCTACGTCTACACGGCGGAGGAAGCGGCCCTGCCTATCAAATCCTACAGCCCAGAGCTGATGGTTACTCCAATCTATAGCGGCACTCCGCAAGCTGCAGATGTCGTGAGAGCGGTTTCGCCGAACCTGGAGCGGCTGCACTCCCTGGTGATCGGTTGCGGTCTGGGAAGGCATCCAGGCATCTTGAAAGGAGCCATGGCTCTCCTGCTTGATGCCCAAAAGCAGGGGTTGCCTGTCGTCGTGGATGCGGATGGACTGCAAGCTGTCGTCGACAACCCAGAGGCTGTAGTCGGCGCGGATCGGGTAGTGCTGACACCCAATGTGGCGGAGTTCAGGCGGCTGCTTTCGGCTGTCGGTGTGGACTCCGAGGGATCACCCTTGAAGGATCAGCTACGTCAGCTGGTGGACAAGCTTCGCGGTCCAACCGTGCTTTTGAAGGGAGCAACCGACCTCGTCGGCTTGCCAAACAAGGAAGTCCTCGAATTCCACGAGAAGGGTTGCCCTCGCCGGAGTGGAGGCTTCGGGGACGTGCTGGCGGGCACTTTGGGCACCCTGGTGGCCTGGCTGCGTATCCGTCAAGGAGGCACTGGGCCTTTGGATCTTGGCCAGGCCGCTGGCGCTGCATCCACCCTGGTAAGGCGAAGCTGCAACTTTGCGTTTCAGCGGCACTTTCGTGCGACGACGGCGCCGAATGTGCTCGATGAGCTGGGCCCTGCTTTTCAATCGATTTCGCCGGCTGTCTAGTGCTTAGCTACTACCGTACTCGGATTCTGCTAAACTTACAGATGAAGAGAGTATGGGCACGCTTTGGGGGCTTAGAAAGGTGTATCACTGCATCATGATGAGCCGAGGTCTGCTGTTCTGATGCCCTTTACACCCTAAATCTTTAGGGCTTTAGGAGCAGAGAGCAGCCACATGACTTCAAGCCGGCATGTGGAAGCCCACAACCCTAGACTGGAGGCGTCGATTTGTGGGCGATGAAGTCTCTGTGTTCGACCAAATTTGATTACGTTTTCGCTTTGATGTTGGCAGTCATCACCTGCATGTTCCTGTAGCAAGTGGTGGGACGTTCCTCAAAAGAAGTGTGCCTGCTTCGGGCGAGCTTGCGAGTCGAAGCCCTGATTTCTGGACCCTAAAAATAGAAACACCCCCCCCTCCACAAAAACAGCCCTAAAGCCTAAACCCCTCCCCTAGCTACTTGGGATCTAAGGTAGAACCCATGGGCCC